TGGAGGTATTTCACTTTGTAAAGTAAGACATGTAAAATGCTTAGGAGTTACAATTGATGAAAATTTGACGTGGAAAAAACATGTTGACAATGTTATTAAAAAGGTCTCAATTGGCATGGGTTTATTACGTAGAACTAGGAATTTTTTGACAAAAAAACAACTCGTTACTATATATCATTCAATCATTGAACCACACTTTGATTACTGTTGCATTGTTTGGGACTCTATGAGTGATACACTGGCAAATAAAATACAAAAATTACAAAACCGGGCTGTTCGTATTATTAGCCGGGCCGATTATTCTGTTAGGTCTGCTGCCCTGCTTGAAAAATTTGGGTTGCCGACTCTAGATGAGAGAAGAAAACGGTTTAAAATGTCCATGTTGTTTAAAATCTTGAACAATGATGCTCCAACTTATTTGAAAGAGTTATTTAACTATAACGACGGAGCTCAATTCTTTGGGCTACGTAATGCGAATTTAAATCTGTCACTGCCATCAGTCAAAACAGAATTGTATCAACAAAGCTTTGCTTTTTCTGGCGCCAAGCTTTGGAACACCTTGCCAAATGATCTCAAAACAGAAACATCTTTAAAAAATTTTAAAGATAAATTGGCTACACATCAACTCTCTGTTCTCTAATATTGAAATATATTTCATATAATTAAATTGCATGCACGGCTTACGGGAAGAACAAGGATGTAAATATGTTTTCTCTTTGATGTAATTACCGTGTTGAAATAAATGTTTTAATAATAATAATAATAATAATATATATATATATATATATATATATATATATATATATATATATATATATATATATATATATATATATATATATATATATATATATATATATACTACCGTAGGTCATATCTTCGAATACACTGCATAAGATAGGATAGCACAATTCAAGCTTGTATGAAATACTATAGGATAAGATACTAATTGATGGTCTTGTTCTCTCAATTTAGACAAACCCTACTACAACCACCATAAGGATTTAGTGATGCTTTAACTGACAATTTAAATTCGTAAAATAGCGAGACTGTGTAAATGCTGTTAATGTTTCACACTTCTAAGTATATTTAACCTTACACCGCATACTCAAGACATGAGCTGTGTGAGCCGTGGTTTTATTTCAACTTCTACTCTAACAGCAAAATAACTAGTTGGACATGCCTCGTAGGCATGCGAGTAGCATGTAGAGTAGATTAAGCGTAGTTGGACATGCCTCGAAACTTATGGCACTATGGCTGACAAAGTTTTTAAAACGGCAGACAAATTCTGGTAAAATAATCGTCAAAGGAAAGCGTGTCAGCAGAGGAGGTGGTTATGGTTTAGAAATTCCGTGCGAGTATCTCTTTCATGGAGATACATTTTCGTGTCAGTGGCTGAAGGGAAAGTTGACACAAGAAATATTTAAATTGCTTGAATAACACGTCCACACGGAGTGAAAAGACTGTTGACACTTTCAGTGATTACGGAAGTTCGAGTAATGAGATAAACACAACTTAAAACTTTGACATTTTGACGAATAAAGATTTAATTATAATAATATATTGTATTATGTTTCATGTTTGCTGTAGTTACTTTCCACTGACCGTTTAATACAGTTTCAAAACAATGAAAAATTAAGTTTGGGACCGTGGAAAGGGTAACCGCGTCCGCTTAATAGAGGTGACCGTTCAATAAAGGTCACTTAACTAGTATTTATAATATGAAATTTTCGGGACTTTGCCACATGACCGCTTAACAATTGTGACCGCTTAATACGGTGCCGCTTAATACAGGTTCGACTGTATACTCTATATAGAACTACAATTTGCTAAACAGTTTTTGTTTATTTGTGGATTATACAATCAATCCCTTAGGAATTAAAGACAATTATAAAACAGTGGCCGTGCATGTTGGTACTAAATTCAATGAGAATGATGCGATTATTTTGTTGAAATAGCACCAACATTGCTGCATGAAGTGATGTGTCATCGACCTGTACTGTAGAACGTGAATTATGCATATATAACAGGAATAATTAACTTAGGAAATCGTACAAATTATGACAAAAAATACTTTATTATATAGATACTGATATTTACGCACGGTTATATTAATGTGAAAAGCCCTTTCAAGATTAACGTCAACCAATCAGAAACGCGAAACGATTATTTCACACGTGCGAAAAACGTTTCGTCCAATCAGCACTAGCCCGTGTTTACGTACGAGCGAATTCGTTCACTGTCGGCAACATTTTTGGCAGAATTATTTTAGTTTGCTGCCTTTTTCTTGCTGTTTAAAGTCAATTTTTAATTTGAATTGGACAATTTAACTCGTATGTTTGCAAAAGATTTATAACATTACAAAAGACAAATATGAATCTATTTTTTGAAAGGGAATACGGAAGACACAAAAAATATCATGCCAGTTCCACGAAAACAACAGCGATGTAAGTTGCATTATATTTAGTTTTTGAAACGAATTATTAATATTTTTCTCTTATTTAAACGAAAAAAATTGTTTGTTATAGTATTCTAGGTCTTGTTGGCTATATATTAATGTCAAATTTAGTTTGAGAGTAAAGTCCTTTACAAGTGATTTAAAGAAAATATACTGTACAATGCCAAAATGAAGTTTTGTTTGCACTTTGCAGTGCTTTATCTTGACTTTGCATGGCCTTTGGCTTTTGAATGAACCAAATTACGTTAAATAAAGGCAATCCATTTAATAGAAAATATCGGTATCTATATAAAATAAACAAATTTAGTAATGGGAAGTGCTTTTGTATTGTATTTTCGCACTTGTTAATTTGTTTTCGCAAAACTCACTCGCTCGTTCGTTTTGTGAAAACAAATTAACGCGTGCGAAAATACCGTACGTCAGCACTTCCCATTAAGAAATCTCTATATACGTTTGCAATTCTTTCTCTTCGCACGTTATTTAACAAATATAAAACATTTTCCGTGTTGATATACAGTTATATTAGCACAAGTGGAGTTTGGGAAAACGAGGAATTGTGTGGAAACACGACGCCTGAAGGGCGGAGTGTTTTCAGACAATTTCGAGTTTTCCCAACTTCCACGAGTGTTGATATATAACTGTATATCAATACGGGAAAATGTTTTATATATTTTTTATAATATAGCACAAAGAAATATAAAGAAAGACATTTTCCGTGTTGACATTGAGTTAAATCACCACAGCTCTTGGCTAATCAGCGTTCAGAATTCACAAATGCTATATTATAATCACAAATATAACATAACTTTAGAAAACCGGATATTAAAAATTCGACTCTGTGCAAATGTAGTTGCAAACGGATGGTCTTTGCTTTGTATAGTCAATCAATGGTCTGGAAACTTGCCGATTTCACTGTTCCTTCCCCTTGTCCAACTTTATGCAAACTTGTGCACGCGGTGAGGGCAATGAATAGACCTGCTTCATCGGTTCATTATCGTAATCAATTAATCTATTGGAATGGTTAGACACGTTCACAGTGGTTAATACCGAGTTTACGCATATGAGACGGAGATGTCATGAGGACGGTTATCAATACAATGACATTAATCCTATAGATCGTTTGCATGCATTCCCCAGGGACCAACGCAACAAAAGCCATGGCGGCCATGTTGGTGTTCCGGACAAAAGCGTCTAGTAATTAAAATTACTTTGAATTGGAACACCAACATAGCACAAAAGAAAACGAATAATTAACAATCTAGCTAGCAGGGGTTTATATACAGGGTGTTCCCAAAAAAGTGACACTATAGAAATTATCCTATTGTCATAATTTGAATGCCCTAGCACTAAGTTGATCCCACAGTTGCATAAACTTCTGATTCTGGAATTTAAAATAAAAAAGCAAACCGTTTATTAGTGTAATCGTTTTGCTTGAGTCGGGCGTTAAAATATTTGGACAAAGCGAAAACGTTTTAAAATGCTTAAATGTAAATACAAGTTCATTAAATTCCCAGGCGTGTAATCACGCGCGTTTAAGAGCGGCTTAAGAACAATGAGATAATTTCTATAGTGTCACCTTTTTTGGGGACACCCTGTAGACGTCGTCCAACGGCAAAATGCAGATTTTCACGTCTCGTATAAGTGCGCTAGAATTTCAAGCCGTGACGGATAGATTTTCTATCAGAGTTGATCAACATTGGTCTGAAGGTTAAAGTTTGTTTAGCCGTCGTCCTGACGTCGCTGTCTTACATGCATGCGTAAACTCCTTAATGTCCCTTCCAAGAAGGGGGCATGTTTTAAAGTTTTTTTATTTGGGAGAGCTAGTGGTGGAAAAGAAATAAAAAAATGTTTGTTACATCGACAATCCATCCGCTCGTAACTTTTTCAATCGGTAAAGAAAGTTATCCAGGTGTCATGCTATACACGGCTGTTTTCGGCGTTAAGAATAATCGATTGCCAAGAAATACAAATAAATAATGGATGAATCGCGAACATGCAGCTTTAGTGTCAATAAATTCCTGGAATTCTAAACTCCTGAAGCCATTACCCAATAATTATAACCGTCCAAACACTCAACCGTGCCATTGAAATATTATAAACAAAATTTTAAAAGAATTGTGCACAGTGAATTGGGAAAAATTGTGCCGTCTCAGCATAAAATCGTAGTTCAATATAAACGCCGAATTTCCAGACCATACGATCCACTTTGCTGTGGATATTCCAGTTTCTAATAGTAGTACAAGTTTGCAACTTTTATTTACTAATTACAAAGGCGGAAATAACTTTTCTGTAAATTGACGTCACAACAAATCTTAACAACTTGTTGACGAAGAGAGATAAAAATTGCAAAGGCCATGTCTAATCGTAGCGCATGTAGGTGGTACCTTACGTACGATCGAACATTTCGGATACATATACTATATATAAGCAATTTTTAGCCATTAGAATACTGTAAAACTATGACATTTAAAAGTTGCACTGTAAGACACAGTATACAGTAGCACATTTACAGTACGTACGAAAAGGTGTATTCTGCAGGTGTTTAGTTATTACTTCCACCAAAGAGATAGAGCAGGAGCAGTAAGATGTTAATAATGTCAACATACAAGATCAAAGCTCCAAACACGTATTCTTCTTCACTCAACTCATACTTACGACCGCCCATAATCAGCTGCACATCATAAACCATAAACTAGAATAAATGACATCAACAACTTGCAGTTAAATACTGTATGTGTCGCCAGTGTCGGTAATGAAATCCCTTTGAATTAATTACGAGTACACTGAGCAGTTTTGTACATTACATACTGTAATGACGGGAAAATCCGACTTGAACACAAAATTTGCTGTTAAGATTATACTGCACGGAAATTATCCCGAGTTCCTAATTTACGTAGAGTAGTCATGTAATTTTAAACAATGACTTACAGCAGTGAAAAGCAAAGCCAAGACTCCACCAATGGCAATTCTTGACACCTAAAAGTAACAAAACATGCTATATTGTGGTGCCCAAACTAGGTTTCGTTCGCTTTTACTCCCCCAGGTGAGTTTGTTAGGCCTGTTTTATACTTCGAATTTTGGTCGCGTAGAATAATTAATACAATAGATGAGATGATAAATGCAATTGACCACTTGCGTAATAGACTAAATTTTGATCTAGACAAAAATTTCATCACAGCTTGAAAGAACATTACAAAATTAGTAATATTCCAAAGTTTCGTTGCGAAATGTTGTAAAATGCAGATAATATAGCCTTGCGAAGTTTGCAATTTTCAGTCATTTTAGATTACAAACGGGAAATTGACAGCCAAATACCCTTTGGGGTATACAAATTGACAGCCCAATACCCTTACGAGTGGATGATAATATAGATCGAACATTCTGCAGTGAATGCAAAAAGGTTAGCACCGTGAAGCAAAAAAGTAGTGGACGACATGTGTAAGGAACTTCCATTGAAATACATTAAGTATAGAGTTAGATAGATTGCGGGCGTAAGTCGTCTGTATTGTCACGTTTTTGTATTCTTGTTCGGGAAAAGGTTTCAAGGGTTGACAAAATTAAATTTTATAGTTCGTTTAAAAATCGCAATTTGGGTCGTAAATTTTGATGAGTTACAATAATTATGTTCTTACCGTTGCAACGAGCAGAAAAACGGGTGAAAAAATGAGCACGAAGAACACGACCAAAGCGAACACAAACAAAACTCCTCCATATTTCGTCATGTCAAACTGAAATGAAAAAAATGTTTAAAACTGAAATGAGTCAATTACAGTTGTAACTTGATTTTCTATTGGCGAATGCTTTAAATTTCGAAAAGCCTTGTTTGAAAACTGCTGCAGGGCTGCTTATAAAGTTTAAGTGTTTAATTGGATGAAAAAAACTGTGTTGCTGTCGTTCTGGACCCAAATCAAATTAGTGACATTGTCTGCACGGTAAATCCTGCCACCTTAAATATTCAATTCTTAACTGTGTCGTACTTAACTGATATGTATAATTTAATTTATAGTATTTACAATATATTATACAGTCAATCATTTCGGTAAAATTTCTGCACAATGAAAAGTTTCCAGTTACATGAAGAACAGTAGACCGTTGTTGTTTTACGACTCACATACCTTGGTCTGACAAGCAAACAGACTGACACATATGGTCACAATCTAAAAACAAGAATGGTTATGAATACACAAACATATAAAACAATTTAGACATATAGCTTGTAGAAAACAAAAGTTTGTACTGTCTAGTACTTTTTCTATTTTTCTATAAAAAAAGATAAAAACAAGACTTGCCGCAGTGATCCCCATCATAATCAGAACAATATTTGTTTCATGGAAACTATAAAGAAACATGACTTTTTCAGTTTTAACCGGCCCTGATTATTTACGTAATATAGCTATTTGAAATTTAACAGGGCTATAGCTATTGCATCAGTATGTGATACAGTCTCGTAACGTATACTATGGTTTATAGTTACTCTATATTTTTTGCGCGATTTAATTCAGATCCTGAATTTTACAACATAGCTTCCCTAAAGTATTCATATTCTTCGCGTGAGTCAGTATACTGTAGGTAATATTTATAAACTTACTGATTTAATTGCCGCGTAGACAGCGGTACACATTCGGTATTTTGATACGAAATATGCGAAACACTATCTTTCCCCTAGCTCGTGAAAGTTTTAAATTAAAGGCCGTTTTCCACTAGGCGGAATTTTCCGCGCGGAGCGGAATTCTAGTTCTCTTTGTCTTTTCGAATTAAGGCCGTTTTCCACTAGGCGGAATTTTGCGCGCGGAGCGGAATTTTTCTTTGTCTTGTGATTTCTCGGGTGGAACTAATTAGAAAAGACAAAGAGAAATTCCGCTCCGCGCGGAAAATTCCACCTAGTGGAAAACGGCCTTTATAGTTCCACCTGAGAAATCAGATGCAAGACAAAGAAATTCCGCTCCGCGCGGAAAATTCCGCCTAGTGGAAAACGGCCAAAATGTTTCTCCTATATATATAGAAATGTTATAATGCGTCTACTTTTGAGGAAGTATAAATACTGTATGTATATTGTATATTCTTTGCGTGATTGAACGCTGAGACACAGATCAGTAGGTCATATTCTTAAAATAAGTTACGGATTTAACTGCGTAGAGCGTAGACGTGTTCCCTACAGGCTACAGAATCATGTGAAATGCTTCTCCTCTCACGAGGCATTATCTCTTAACAGATGTTATAATGCGTCTATAGTTGTGAACCGACGAAACGTTTTGCCTTCCAGTCTTCGATGCACTAACTAAAGTCGAGTTGTAGTACGTAACATAACACCAGCCGTTCTGCGGTATGACAACAGGATAAACGTTTAATTAACGTGATGCTTAATGTATACGTATTACGAACGTAATTGTAAATGCAAATTATTTTGTGAAAATTCAGAATTAAAAAGGTATAGAAATAAAGAAACGAATGCATGATATGACAATAATGACAGGATACTGAAGATATACTGGACTACTGGAGTATTAAATTAAAAATTTTTGACCTCGAAATGATATGTCAAATTTGTTATGGTTTTAACAGAAATATATTAAAAATGCGGTGTAACTAGCCTTTCACAAATTTCACTGCAAGGCCAGGATCTTGTTCATTTAAATTTGTCAAGAAGTTAAATTAAAATTGTTCGTGATGCTATTTGCTAAGAATTTCATACAAATTTTCTAAAAAATTCATACGAATGTCATGTAGGGGATACCGATTCACACCAATCATGGCTCATAAAGAATACCGCAAGCTTTACAGTCTTTACTCACCTTGATATCACACCAACAAGATATGAGAGAGCAAGCGTCTAAGAACGGAAACAAATACAGTTGACAAAAGTGACAGTGATGCCAAAACTGACCGCATTTTACAACATTTCGCAACGAAACTTCGGAATATTACTAATTTTGTGATGCTCTTTCAAGCTGTGATGAAATTTTTGTCCAGGCTAGTATAGATCAAAATTTAACTTAAAAGGGAAAAGGTCTATTGGGAATCGAAAATACACTAATTATGCAAAGTTAATAAATCCAAAAGCTAAAACGTTTTGATTACTACGAATGTTCTCTGTTCAGTGGTTAATTGAACCATGTTTAATGCAATAATAACGGGACGTTCGTGTTGTCTCACTAAGACGAAGATTGACGAGTTGAGCTCATTTTCAGATAACTTAACATTTCATTTTAATTCCCTCTTGGGAATTGCCTATGTTTCGTTTTCCTTTCAATTCCCAACGGTGGAAGAATGTGATTTCGACCGGCAATTTTTATTTGACGAGTATGTGGCGATTTCTCATCGTTACGACTTAAAAATAGTATCATTGAAAAGCTAAATAACTGTTCTCTTGTCCTATGCAAAAATTGAATTGTATAGGCACGTTTATGATGCACGACAGCCTGTTGAATTTCCATAGCGTTTTTTTAGACGCCCTGTAGACCGCCCCAACAGCCGCCTACTTTATCGAAACAGACACCTACTCAGAATAATTCTGAAAGCCTTAAAAACCCGCAACATGGATCAATATAAGACGGAATACGTATACATTTCAATTATCCATTTCAATTTTATTATTTTATTGATTAATAATTAAAATTGTTGATGCGTTTAATTATCATAAAGGGAACAATTACTTACAAATATTGACAGCAAGATCAAGTTAGTCGGATGACTTCGTCTGAACAAAAGAGATTAATTTATAAATTTAGTAGAATCTTGTCAATATTATAGTTAAGGTTATAGAACACCTTAAATCGTTCAAAAAATCGATTTTTGTATTTTTACCTTACTGTACTTGTATTAAAATTCGCGTCGTATTAATTTTCGCTCAGCTTTAAATTCGCACGATTTAATTTCACCTTGTTAAGACTTATTCGCGCAGCTTTAAATTCGCGCAAGTAATTTTCCGTGTTCGTTCTTTTTGGTTTGTTTAATAGAACTACTGACAATTAATGCATTTATAATGAGTATTTTTATCAACAAATACTTCAATATTTGTCAAAACTTAATAAAAAAAACGACTAGGTGGCTGGCCTCAAAAATGGATTCAAAATTATGTATAATGTAAGCAAAATTCATGATAACAATAAAGCGTGAGTTCAAAATACCAACAAGAACTAAACATTTTCCTACTGATACAATAACATAATGGAAATAGTAATGCAAATCAGTTAATAAAACAACTGATTTGCATTACTAACAATGAGTGTCTCATATTACACCACAAAGCTGATTATATTTCGCGCGGATTATATTTCGCCCAGTACTAAAATTCGCACACCCAGCGGTGCGCGAATTCTAGTACTGCGCGAATTTTAATACAAGTAAGGTATTCAGAAAGTTTAAAAATAACTCTCGCATATGCAAAAATAATTTTTTGAATATATTTAAAATTGCGTTATTAGGATATATATGCTTGTATAATGCTCGAACCACCGCGTATTATGGTGAAAGCACTGCGTATAATGGTGAAAGCACCGCGTATAATGCCGAAAGCACCGCGTATAATGCCGAAAGGAACCGCGTATAATGCTAAAAGCACTCAACAAAATGTCGTTTGATCACTTAAGACAGCTATGGCTTCCATAATTATTCATGACAACTTGTTACTGTAAGTACCAAATGTCGCTTCCACAAATTCCTCGTGGTTGTTGTTGAATTACTGCTAACCACAGAGTAAAATACAGCAAATCAAACCTGCATGCACGCTATTAGTCGGTGTTAAACCATTATGTTTTTTCACTCAAGGCATTTCCAATATGAGGCGATTGAGCAGAATAACAACTGGGATTTCATTTCCTCAGGTACAGCGAACATATAGCTTTCAGTCTTTCACAATCATAAACTGCTTCCATTGTTATTGGTTAACGTCAACTAGATTATCTTTCCAATTGCAAGTATAGGGGGAGAAATTAGCGTTAGGTGTGGAAAAACCTTCCAAATATGTTTACAGCCTGTTTTCAGCCGAATAAATTCGCATTTAACCGATTTCTTTCAAAATTCCACAAAATATTGTGACATACAGTAGTTTAGCTACAAAAGAGTGTCTGGAGATTTTTGTTAAATCAAACTGTCAAACTCATTAATAATTCATTCGTCAATTAGCCAACCATATATTGCTTTATTTTGTTCACAATACTGGATACCTGGTGACGTATATTGATCCAGTCCTAGGACTGGATTAAAACTAGTTCACCTCACTTTAAGGAGCGATTTACTGGTATGAGATGTCATTTCAATTCCTCCAATTCGAAATATCACGTACGTTACAAGCCTTTACATGCCATTGTTTTGTGTAACAACATATATAGGTCTAGAAAGAACTACATCTATAGCTTGATAACGCCTGAAGAAATCGAAAATCCCAAACACTCCTTTTTAGATCAATCATATAAAGGAGTGTAGAGATGATATTTTGAGAGAATTTAAGTAAACCAGAAGGAACATACAGTACACTCGCGGAAGATAGTCATACCACCATTACAAGTCTTGTTTATTTGACAATACTATAATAGGTAGGTAAAGCGTTTGCAACATTTGGTGCAATTTAGAGGCCGATTGCTTAAAAATTGAGTGCGTAATGCCAAATTTCCGGAACCAACTGCGTAGGGTATTCTATAGAAAAACTGGAAATAAAATTAAGTTCATAACTTACCGGACTGAGTCACAGCAAACCAAAACAAAATATAGAACAAAGAATATAGCGCTAAAATTATATTTAAATTTATTAAATATATATAACTGTTTATATTGGAATGGGGGGGGGGGCATATATTTTCTCAAGAACTCTTTAGAGGGGATGAAAGAATTTTCTATTTACTAAAATTGGGCAGATTTTCCACGTAGAAATTCGAATGATAAAAGTTTCCCTCCAGAAGGCATGGCATCGTATATTTTCGAGGTCCTAGATTTCAAATTAAATTTTCTGGGTGATAACAAGCATATGTGCAAATACATCAGTCAGGAAGGCTTCGGTAATTAGAACTTATACAGGGTGTCTAAAAAAACGCCATGGAAATTCGACAGGTTGCCGTGCATCATCAACTTTGCTAATCAATTCAACTTTCACATAGGACGAAAGAGCTGTTATTTACTAGCTAGTTTACATTCGTTTTTGATACTCCTTTTTATAATCGTAACGATAAGAAATGGCCATGCACATACTCGCCAAATAAAAATTGCCGGTCGAAATCACATTCTTCCACCGTTGGGAATTATTGCATGGAAAACGAAACATAGACAATTCCCAAGAGGGAATTAAAATTGAATGTTACAATATCTAAAATGAGCTCAACTTGTCAATCTTCGTCGTACAGGTATATCAACGTCCATTAAACATGGTTCAATTAACCACTGAACAGAGGACATTCGTAGTCAAACGTTTTACGAAACAAATAGCTTGCAGCAGATTCGCGTTGCTTTTAGATTGATTAACTTTGCATAATTAATGTTTTTTCAATTTCCAACGGTGGACTAATGTGATTTCGACCGACAATTTTTATTTGACGAGTATGCATGTGGCCATTTCTCATTGTTACGATTTAAAAAAAGTATCATTAAAAAGCTAAATAACAGCTCTTTCATCCTATCATTCCTATATGTAAAATTGAATTGTTTAGCAAAGTTGATGATGCACGACAGCCTGTTGAATTTCCATAGCGTTTTTTAGACACCCTCATGTATGTAAAATAATTCATTCATCAAATTGATGTATTCACGCACATACAGTTATATAGAGGATATTAGACGGTTGCGAAGAGATATGGATTTTATGTTCGAGTGGCAAAACGAGCGAACGAGCGAGATATTGTTTTAATTGACACGAGAACATCAATCCATATCTTCTCGCAACCGTTTAAATGTTCTGTTTATTATATGGACAATATTCAGAGTGACAAAAATACACACAAAGACGACATGTAAATAAGCACGCGAAAGACCAGTGTAAAAGCGATTTTTTTAAAGTATAGTGCAAACATAAAACTAGAATAAATTTTACTTATCTCAAGATGTCTTTTCAATGTTTTCGTTTTATTTCCAACGTTAATTTCGTTTTAAATACGAACCAAAGACCATTTGTATTTTCAAAACAACAACAATGAAAATGGCGGGAAATTTTCGAACTTCCTATGTCACTCGCAGGGGTGAAATACGGAAAATACGCGCACCTGGTCCCGGCTGTATAGTGACGTATGAGTTCTACGAGTGTTTTAGTTTCCAGTAAAACACAATTGTCCATATAATAAATAGTAATATTCACATAAATACCAATATTATGAACACTTACTATGCAAGTCCATAAACAAGCCCATTCTTCCCAGCTTTTTCGAAAGAAGGTCTAAAACAGAAAAATAGAAACGTTAACATGCAGAATCAAAATCTCTCTATAAAGATTTTAAAGCTTTTCTAGTAAAACCTTTTTTGCTCATTTGAAATAATGAGTCCATGTTGGTTAACGGCCGTATTGGTACATTGGTGATCTGGTGGCTAAAGGATGGACAACAACAAATCATCTATCGTATATATACAGCATTTTGCTGTACTGTCCCCCGCTACTCGGCGCTCAACTAAAATTAGACTTGTGATAAAGAAAGGGGGCGAGTTCAGTACTCGTTCCGACTACTCCTTGGCTATATACAGCCTTGAATCTTTGGACCCTATACCAATGTATAGAACTCTTGTTTGTCTCAAACAATGAATTTCAAGCTGATGGAGGAATCTTGCTGCAAGTCAGCAAGTCTGTACTCTATGTTAATAAATTTGAAGTTATATTGACAGGCAATAGATTTGGATGAATGATATAATATTACAAACTTACACGAAGAGGAACAAACAGATAATTCCGACTGTCACAAGTAGTTGAATAGACAGAATAGCGAAAACCTACAAACGGAAAAATGACAATTTATAAATGGATTATACGTAAACATGAAAGAACGTGTTGGTTATAATTGTTTTGGTTATTTTTCGGTAAAATGACATTTGTCTTCGTGTGAAAGAAAATAACAGCTCGCAGCTCTTCCTGCTTATGTCTAATAAATGTATATATAATTAAAATTTCCGCTCAAAAATTTCCATCTACCTATACCCTTCATGCAACTGCTGATAGGTTAATCATCCATACAAGCATTTCATATACCTCACATATATAGAACGTTTCTTTAAATTAATTAAAGGTACAAAACTACAAGTTTACCTGGGTTTTTCCTGAGAGTTACCATGCTACTACGTTTAAAAAAATGAACATACCTTTCTAATAAAACCTAAAAGTAGAAAAAAGGAATCGATGAGCGGACAATTCCGTTTTTTTTGACAAAGGGACGTATACAAGGGCCAAGAAACAGATTCCTAAAATTTTGGGCCGCTATATACGCAATAGAAATGCAGACTTAGTATAATATGTTTGAGGATGGAAAATTTTTCAGACATATTAAACCTAGCGAATGAACTAAAAATGTAACGATAGGTACTCCTAAAGTCTACTGTTTTTAATGACAAACGATTGCTGTGAGATGACTGGAGATCTGTAAACTGCGCACAGAAGGCTCCGAGACTCCCGCGTACACGAATATAATATCAACACTCAGCAAATCTATAGGAATGCTACAGTAACTTTCGGTGCGTGACGCTCGTGTTAGCAAAAGTGCCGCTTGCATGCTAATTGCATGCTTGTTGCCCTCAACGGTATATTAGGGTCGGGCGGTTCATGGTAAAAACCGAAAACCATCTGAAAAAAACGATGTTTTTTAATGAAAATTTCCTCATGAAAATTTAAAAGAAATTTCATAAAATAGTAGAAACACTGGGTAAAAAATATGGCGGCCATTTCGGTTACGAATTACGAATATTTCGGTCTTATTTTCGCTTTGACACACATCTGAAATAAGCCAGGATGCAGAATATGAATGCGAATTGTTTGTAAGCCACCGCTATACGCTAGAAATCCGCCTTTTTTTCACGCGTGTGATCCGCTTTATACTCGATGCTTCGCGCAAACAGTTTTTTTGTCAAAAGAAAAATCGATTGAATAACTCACAAACGTACGCTTCGCGCGCTGTTTCTTCAAGTTTCAAGTATTTTCCCGATTTTTTCCCGGTTTCTTCGGTTTTTGTCAAAAGAAAAATCGATTGAATCGTTTTTTTTTTAAAAATCGTTTTTTTCGGTTTTATCGATAAACCGCCCGACCCTACGGTATATATGTTCGCAACTTACAGTATGATGTCCAAATCTGTCGAAATCGCGAACTAAATCACGCGTGGATTTTCGTCACCACATACATTGATGAGGGAAAATGTTTTGCAAGGTTATACTATTGTTACCAAACTGTGAGTAACTGTTTTGTCGACACCAAAACAATTTTTATTGCAATATTGGGTTACTTATATGTTAGCACATAGGTTAATATTACTGCCCCCGTGATGGCAAAATGCTGTAATACGGCCATGCACGAAGTAAATGTGTGGATGTATACTTCATGAGGCAAGTGGGCAAGGTGAATGCAACAAAATGTAATGCAACAAAAATTGCTCGACCGCGGAGTAGCATCACCAAAAAAAGAACTCACTTGAGTTCAACACCACAACCAGCAGATTGAATATACAGGAGATGGAATATGTTTGGCGGGTTATATCATGGTTACAGTCAGTGGCGTGCTGGGTACTATTTTTCTGGGGGGGCCAGTCGGCTGGCAACTAATATGCGCCCCTATATATTACCCTTGATAAACGAGGGCCGAAGGCACAAGCCGAGCGCCACAGGTGCGAGGTTTGTCTAGGGGGGTCCGGGGGCATGCCCCCCGGGAAAATTTTTGAATTTAGAGTCTCTGAAATGCCATTTCCTGGACTTTGGGGGAAGATTTGACAGAAATCTGATGGTCAGGAAACGGCATTACAACGTGTCGAAATTTGAAAATTGGTTAGAATTTAGTAGTAGCACTTAAATTGGGCAATGCTAACCACTTCCAGCAATTAATCTAATCCCAATTTTATTCTTTACTGATCTGAATTCATTTACAACTTACAGCTCTTTTATACAATAACACACGGACCCCACGCATATGCATGATTCCCGTGATCGCTTCGAAGCCTGATCAATATTCCGGTAATGAGACATTGCGTGTGATCACTTATCATGTTTCTATATGAACGAGTGATTTCGTGTGAGTCGTGAGGTAGCAAATACGGTTAGACAAAATAGTCTGCAATTTAATATACTCACTCACTTTGTAGCCTATGCGCTTAGTCTGTTTATAAGTCTATAAACACATCTTTCCTTGGCGGAATTAGTAACTATATTTCTACGAATGCGTTTCTTCCCACCTACTTTCAAAATTCGGCGCGGGATCGGCGCCCCCTTTTCATTTTTGCGCCCCTCAAAAATTGCCAGCTGGGGGGGCCGTGGCCCCCCGGCCCCCCCTGCCAGCACGCCACTG